GACCCGCCCGCTGCTCCCCTCAGCAGTATACTTTGTCGATCTGCCTGTTCTGTTCCCCACTCTGTCTCTGGTGAAGCCTCTCAACGGCCCTGAGCCTCTGGCCTGTACCCCAGTTCTGTATGCACAAATAAATAAATCTTTAAAAAAAAATAGATATACCATAACGTACAATAATTCTACTCTGCATGTATGTATCTTAAAAATGCAAAACACTAATTTGAAGGAATATATGCACCCCTATGTTCATGGCAGCACTATTTACAATAGGCAATTTATGGAAATAACTTAAGTATCCGTTACAGACAGGTGAATTAAGAAGATATAGTATATACATAATGGAAAACCGAGGAAATCTTGCCATTTGCAACAACATAAATAAAACTGCAGTGAATTTTGCTAAGGAAACTCCATCAGGAGAAAGAGACAATGAGTGATTACACGCACATATGGAATATAAAGAAACAATAGACAAAACAAACACTAGAAATCTGACAACAGAATGGAGACTACGGGAGAGAGGAACCCAGTGGGCTATGGTGAAGGATTATGGACGTCTTGACAGTAGGTAGATGTGGTGTGGTAACATATCTCTGAAGAGGAATAAACCTACACCCCAAAATCACATACAGCATGGTAAACTTACTGTGATTAAAAAAACACAATTTTTTTGAAAATCTGAAATAACTGAACATCAAAATAAATAAAGATAGTAGAAATTATAATCTACTGGAGAAGTGGGAATTTATTCGGCATCTGATAACATTCGCAAGTCAACAAGTAAATAAAGAAGGAACACTCCTAGGGTGGCAGGCTATAGAAAAATTGAAGTGGTAAGATTATAAAATTGTCACTTTATAATCATCATCATAAATATTGTCCAAGTCCAAATTGTCAGTAAGTGTTCAATCAACGAGTCAGGGTCAAGAAGGGGCAGGATATATGCAAAATCTTACAGAGAAGTTAAAGTGTGCCCTGCCTCCTTACTTTTACTCCAAGAGAGAAAGGGAAAAAAGTAAGAATTTCAGTGCTTTCTCTGATAGCTACTTGATTGAAATTGATCAATAAGAATGAGCAGTTGTTAGAAACAGTAACCATCTGTTAGAAATAATAAGCATCTACATTTTTGCTTGACAGGCATATGATTAAGTGGGCATAGTCCATATTTCTCTTTCTCCTCAGCTAATGTAATTCCTTGTAAATACCTTACAGAATAGATTGCTAAACTTAACAAAATGAATCTCAGTGAAGAAGTTAAACTGCAACTGTAATTTATTATGTATTTTAATGTGCTGTTTTTCCAAATGGTACATGAGGACTGACAGAATATTTGAACTCAATGTTAAATAACTCAAGGCATGGAGAATACGCCACAACAAAAGCATTATTTTTCAATAATGATGGAACAAAATAATTTCTCAAAGAACATATCTTAAAATCAAATTTTTTTCATTTGAAAAGGTCATTTCAATTTACAGCGGTTTTTAGTAACATATCTAAAGTATCAAATTACATCGCTAATCAGTTGATTTTCATTCAAAGGTAATGCCATTTTACATTTCAACTGTATCCATTTCATATCAACATTTTAAATTAACAACAGTGTGTTTTCCACATTCAGGAAAGGTATTATTACTTCTGACTAGAACCAATGATAAAACTAAATAGCTAGATTTAATCCATAAATGCAGCTTAACAGGATCACAGGTGTACCTGAATAGGATTCAGAAGAAATTCAAAACACCTAACTTAGAAAATAACACCCTCCACATGAAATAAGATAAATTTACTTGAAAAAAAAGACAAAACTGATTTCTGAGCAAACCAAACAGAAGTTAATGAAATATTCCTCATTTTCATAAAACAGAAGAATATGGACTTGCCGTGCAAAAGAAAAATTGGAATTAATTTTTTTAAAGGCTGTTAACAATTTAAAACAAATGACCTAGTTAAAGAAATTTTCAGACTTCTTTTCTGTTGTTAGGGAGACAGAGGTCTGTTAATTTAAGCCAATGTACTACCTACCAGTTCAGTACAAAGTGGATTCAAGAGTAAGTGACATAAATACAAAGGATGGTTGTTGGTATCAGACAAAATCAAGACAGTGACATCATGGCAGCTAAGACAACCTTTCATTTATGAAATGGGAGAGGGAAT